AAAAAAAAAAAAAAAAGTTCCAGCAAAGCGAATTTTAAAAAGAAGAAAGCCTACATGGTCAATAATTATTCTTGCTGCACTTTATGCAAATAATCAAACCCAGTATACTAAAAGTTCAGCTGATTTTAGCAACTAAGTTCTACTTATAATTTGTCTTTAGTAAAGAGAAAAATTGAAAAGAGAAAAAAGTTCAAGGAAAAAAGCAGCTGTGGCCCACCTGTATTAAACCCCAACCTCGTCTGTAATGTCAGCTCATAAAAGAATACATAACTGTTATACTAAAGTAATCTGCTAAATGAGATTAAGAAACTAGCCAAAGAGTATAGAAGTATATACAGTTATCACATTTGCTCTAAAACCTTGAAACTCAACAAAAATTATCTATTTTCCACACTAGAAAATTTGTACAGCATTAAACGTTACCTGCTGTAAACCTGAATAAAAAATTCCCAGTAAGTGATGTAACTATAACATGACCTCATGTGGCCCCAACCCCAACTGGTATTTAAGAATATTCACTTCGATTATCCAGAACTTTCAATCAATTCTATAGAAACTCTTAGAACTATGTATTATCTTAAAAACTGTGCTAAGTTTGTTCTCATTATGTAAATCTTAACCTCTAAATCCAGAACTTGTAAATAACTGCTAAATAGTTTCATTCTCTTATACTAAACCCAACCTTAACTTCATCTTTATCAGTATTTAAGAAACACTCACCTAGGCTTGGTACCTGTAGCTCAGCGGTTAGGGCGCCAGCCACATACACTGGAGCTGGCGGGTTTGCTGTGTTGTGATATGAGCTGGTACCTTTAATCAGATTTTTAAAATCCCTGTATTTTATATGAATTTTCTGATTATTTTTGTTGCAAGGCTTTGTCTGATGCAGATAGTCCTTCTTTTTTTTTTTTTTTTGAGACTGAGTCTCACTTTGTCCCCCTCGGTAGAGTGTTGTAGTTTCATAGCTCACAGCAACCTCAAGCTCCTGGGCTCAAGCTATTCTCTTGCCTCAGCCTCCCAAGTAGCTGGGATGATAGGTACCTGCCACAACACCAATTTTTTTGTTGAGGTTGTCATTGTTGTTTAGCAGACCTGGGCTGGCTTCGGACCCACTAGCCCTGGTGCAGGTGGCTGATGCCCTAACCAATGAGCTATGGTCACTGAGCCATATCTATTACTTTTTACACATCACTTTCAGCAGGGGCATGGCTGCCGCGTATGAGCAGAGCCCCATCTGGGTTCTTACTGTCACACGTTCAGGTACCGTGTCTGCTGCATCATTTTCACATTGTCCTATTTCTCACTCTCACAACCCTGAAGATGGAGATGTCTCACCCACAGCATCTCAGAGTTTAACGTGTCCATGGGACATACAGTGGTGGTACGTTTCATAAGAATGGCATCTTTCAGTCAATCAGACACTGTGGTCTCTGGACACTGCCTACCCTAAGTCACACCACAGCCAACAATATGGGGGTCCTGACCCCTCTGTCTGTCTTGGATGGGGCTAGCTCCTGAGCTGGCTATTCCACCCAGGGATTCTCTGGCTGAGGCCATGATCCAGAATCCAGAAGGGAGGGATGAAGCCCCCAGACCTGGCGGGAAGGGGAGTTGGCTCGAACAGGACTTTTCAGAGATTTCACCAACCTTCTCCACTCTCAAATGGAATCTTTAGACTGTATTTCAGGAATCACTTCTTTTTTTTTTTTTT